AAACGAGAGAGAAAGAGAGGGAGAGAGAGAGAGAGAGAGAGAGAGAGAGCAAGAAAGTGAGAGAAAGAGAGAAAGAGAGAGAAAGAGAGAAAAGTGAGGTCGCACTTTCGCACGCGCTCCGCATAGCTTACTCCCAGTATTCCTCGGTAGATGCGATGCTCTCGTTGGTCCTGTTGGAGACATTCATGTCGGCCGTGACACAGTTGGGGGTGTTCCATTCGTTGTCACACGTGCTCCACGGCAGCACGCTTTGGAAGATGGCAATGAAGTAGAAGACCGCCCAGGCGACGATGACGTTGTAGTAGATGTTCATGAAACTACACATGATGATGGACGCAAATCCGATGCCTGGAGCACGTTGTCAGACACAAAATGAGTCTTAACACTAACATTTTCTCGTAGACTGTCGACAGCACTTTGTCTCATATTGTTACAAGGAAATCTGCTATGATTTTTCATTCAGGTAACTTCGCAGCGCGTCTGTCAACGGTCTAAGAGAAAAAGTTAATGTTAATACTAATTTAGTTTCTGACAACGGTCCCATGATATACAAATACGGTAGAGGTCGAAGCCAAATATACGTCTATGAAAATCGTAGAAAGTAGAAATACTCGAGTTATTCTGAAAGCCTTGTGAAACCAGTTAACAACTGTCAACACGAAGCTGTCAACAACGAACTGTTTCCTACGAAGCTGCTCGTTGAGTACGAGTAGTAATCACGCCATTCTTTATTAGTTAGAGCATCTAATGTAACGTTGAATTATTAATTGTTTGAGTTTGTATAAATGATAAACTAAGCTAAAACTTGTGTATTAAACTGAATAAACTTTAATTTCTGACACACAGTGTAGTCACATCTTGCACAGAGAGCAATCTCGCGATCACAACCAGACTCCTCCACTCCTACATCTCTGTCCTCCTCCTCCTCCTCCTCAATCTCTCCTAACCTCCTATATATTACCCCCAAGCCCCTACATTCTAAGCGCACATGTCACCCGTTCTCCCAGACCGCGTCCTACCTCCATTTCACAATGACCCTAGAAACCCGACCTAAAACACGTTTATCATTCTCCCTATAACATCAATCTAGCCGCACAAGATGCGCGACGCTCTGTCTACATAGACTACCACTAAACCAACCACCAGCCTAGCCTCGTTGACTAATTCATGCAACATTTCTAAAACATATGTTACACTAACCTTTACTACTAACTAATAAAGTAGATAGTATGCGTTAGCATAGCAAGTAGCAAGTAAACACTTGCTGCTTGGTAATATGATATACATAGAGAGAGAGGGGAGAAAGAGAGAGAGGATCTTGATCGATCGTGATTCTATCACATAGCATGGCAGTTTCTGACCATTTAAAATAATAACATTTAAATATCAATGATAGAATAATAAATAAACTAATACTAAATCTATCGAAGCCAAAAATAAAAACATTACGGACATGTGAAAGTAATAAATCAATAACTTCTTTATATACACATCATTTGTAATACGATCATATTCTCACGTGGTTATTAACTATACGCAATATTTCCTCCTAAAGATTTATAATACTAACTCTGACTTTTACACCTCTCTTTACTCTTACGCACCATTTTTTACCATATGAGCAAGAAATTTTCTTGTTCTCTCTAAGTAAATAACTCTACTCGAAAATTATAATTTTAGAAATAAAATTGTTTGCGCCACCTGGTGTAAACCACGCCAACGACTTTCTCACCTACTAGAATGGGTGCACTCGCAGGAAAGAACTATTCTTCTGCGTCTGTAAGTGAATCGAAAGTGGCGGGAAGAATAGTTTTTCGATCGTGGCAGAGTATCTTTCGCAGACCCGTACGTCAAATTCGCGATGCAACTTGTTTTCCTCTTTCTACCTTCCCTCCCCACAGACAGTTGGAGCGTTTCAATAAAAAAATAATGTTAAATAAACACGGAAGGTATTTACTACCAAGGTCTTAATGAATATTTCTCTACTCCCTTTCGGGGTGATGCTCCATTAGGAGCGTTCCCAACTTTAATGTCATTAATGTCGTGATATAAAATGGGGTTATCAAGGGGGGTTAGATATAAAATAAATATCAAGAAGGGTTAGATATAATGATATAAAAAAAGCTATTAAAGTCGCTAGCCTTTGTTTCGCTCGCCTTCGCTGCGCGAGCAAGTGAAATACAGAGCGGGGCAGGTTTGCTTCGTTTCGCTCGCCTTCGCTGCGCGAGCAAACGAAATATAGAGCGGGGGCATGTTCGCTTCGTTTCGCTCGACTTCGCTGGACTTCGCTGGTCGAGCACATGAAATACAGAGCTAGTAAGGTGTATAGCTGGAAACGGCCTATTATTGCCGATAATTTTCCTGTAAATGTCGTATAAATGCTCCTCTGCAACACATAGAGCACACCGCACGCACGCATGCCAAACTACACATTTACCGAGTGTAGTTTATTGAAATGCTCCTGTGTGCCTGTGTCCCTCCCTGGTAACGCGTTTAGCGATTAGAATTTCTCGTCGAAGGCGAGGTTGCTGTGCACCACGAACGACACGGACGCTAGCTCCTTGTCGACGAGTTGGCCGTCGTTGTCGTCGCCAGATATTCCGGAAGCGTCCAGCTCCATATTGGCCATCGACGATGTGCGATCGTCCTCCCCGAATCCAATCTTGGCCTTACTGCCCTTGTCCACCACATGCCGCAGTTTCTGTCGACAGATCATCGCACGTGTTTACAGGCAATAGGTTTTGATGGGTAACAGATAGGTGTGGATGGTAGGTGTACAAGTAATAGATAGGTGTGGATGGTAGGTGTACGGGTAATATAGGAGTGTAAAGCTCTCACCAACTCGCTGACTCCCATGTTCGCTCCGACGACTGCCTCAGCATCCGCCGCGTGGTTCACACTCTGAGTCGTACTCCTGTACGACGGGCTGCTGTCGAAGTCATGCTTCCCATATGTAAAGTTGCTCATCTCCGCGCCGCCGTGGTTCATGTAGGCACCGACCCCTAAGCTGACGGCACCATTCGCCTCCGAGTTCGGACCACTTTTCTCTAATGCGTATTTGCTCATGGTGACCAGCGGACGCGCAGCTTGTCAGGTGTACGAATTTGAAGCAACTGCGACGTTGTGGCGACGATAAATAGGTTACTGCGCCTTATCGGGAGATGATGCAACGCAGTACAGAGATTGCAACAACTGATAACTCATTGGAAAAAAACTCCGAACACGTTTCGCCCGGGCGGCGGAATTATATAAATCAATACGGCACTGTTATGTTGTACAAGGAAGACTATGAGTAAAGCATAAGTCAAATGACATCAGATTTATTATTGAAATACTCAGCAGACAGCCATGATGGAATTCAGTCCTAATATCAGAACGAGGCTAATAGTTTCAAGAGCTATGCTTAGATGGCGTTAGCTGTTATTAATATTACAGGCACGCAAGCTGCTCATTGGTTATATTGAGCTGCGACGTATGGCCTAATGAGATGCCTATAAATGGGAGAGAAAAGAAAGTTCGAGGGAGTCGGGTGTGGCACTGGCTAAGCCGACCCGCTCATGTACGTTGCAACATATGTATTCAAATAGAGACGTCTATATCATATATCATATACACAACACGAGTTAGAGTGGCGAGGAGATACCAGGTATACATTTGGTGCCGAGTTATGAATCATGTTCTTGAAGGTTTACAACACAAATATGCAATCGCTTACTTAGACGATATAATGGTGTACAGCTCCACATTCGAAGAACATATACAACTACCTAGAAGAAGTTTTCCGCCGTTTTCGGGTAGCGAATCTTACCTTAAAACCGAGTAAGTGTAACTTCCTTTGTCGCGAGGTCAAATATTTGTGTCATAGCATCAGTGCAAAGGGTATTGCAGCTGATCCAGACAAAATCACAACCATACAAAATATAGCCGCACCAAAAACAGCAACCGGGGTACGTCAGCTTTTGGGTCTAACAGGGTATTACAGAAAATTTGTCAAAGATTATGCGACGATAGCTAGATCATTAACACAGCTTACGCATAAAGACACCTTTCGTTTGGTCTGCAGAGGCAGAAAAAGCCTTTCTAATGCGTAAGAAACGCATAATAGAACCACCAATTTTGGCATTGGCAGATACAGATAAACCATAGACACTTTATTGTGATGCCTCGAGTTATGCGTTAGGTGCCGTATTAATACAACGTGATGATCAGAACAGAGAAAGGGCAATCATGTATGTAAGTAAGCAATTCACTGAAGCTGAATGCCGTTGGCCAATCATAGAGCGTCATATCAGTGCTGCGCATTAGTTTATGCAGTTCAAAAGCTCCGACAGTTTCTAACAGGGTCAAAGTTCGAAGTGCATTCTGACCATCGCCCACTCCGTTACTTTCTAGAGGCAGAGTCATTACGCAACGCGAAGTTACAGCGTTGGGCGTGTTTACTTTCACAATTCGATATAACTTACAATAAAATACAAGCCTGGGAAAAGTAATAAGCACGCAGATCCCATGTCGCGGTTACCTATACACACCGCATGCGGAGAGAAAACTAATGCTGTTGATGCTTCCACGCAAACACGACATGTAGAGAGCAAATTAGCGAAGCAATTACAGATAATTGGTGATTCACAACCACCTAACATTATCGCACAGATTCATGAGAACACTAGTGCACAGCAAACAGCGAAAACAGCACGCAAAGAGTGTGACGATCTCACACTAGATACATTTAGAACAATGCAAGCAGGTGACAAATTCATCTCCAATGTGTAACATGGAACCGACATGCTTGCTTATATTCTGCATATCTCGCCTGCGCCCTTAGTGATCCCACAACTGCACTCGCCGTCGTCTCTTTTGTGG